TGTTTGGGATTTATTTAACTGCAATGAAGATGATTCTGAAAATATTTATGATGACAATGATAATAAACTACGTAGAAAACAAGAAAATCATAATAGACCAATTGGATTATTTTCAAACTTTCTCGTTTATCCTTCTTTAAATCCGGGTGTTGATCTAATTCCATTCGACAATAATAGTAATGACAGCTATTACCATAACGGTTTCAAACCAACAATAATTTGTAAAATTGTAAGAAATATGATGATTATTACCGATAGAAAAAAAATTAGATATGAAATTTATGATCTTTTTGGAAAACTTTTGGATACTTTTGATGATAATGATGCTAAGCAATCTCAGGAATTTGCAAATTTGATCGTTGAAGATAGCGAGCCTTGGGATTCCTCGTCTAGAGTCCAAACTACAATTTGGTTGAACGTAAAAAAAACCTTGCAACTTATAATTGGTTGTCAGTCCGTGCAAGTTTGGGAAAAAGGGAAATCTTTATTATACATTTGGACCCTTCCCAATAATTACAATTCTAATATAACTAAAATAATATTTGAAGAACATCAATATAATTCTTATGTACTAAGAATCAATTCAACCAATACCAATAATAATAATAATGATGATATAGAAATAAAATTACCACGAAGTAACAATTACATTAAAGAAGTTTGTCGTTCCATGAAATTTCTTAACGATAAACATAACGATGCCAAAAATTTATCAAATAGAAGAAAAAGATATTTCGAAAAAACGATTCAAGAAACTATTAAAATTTTAAAAGATTTTATTGATAAACATCCACAAAAATGGCGTCTAATTGACACCAAAGAATGTATTATGGCTCATTTAATAGTTTCAAGATGTAAATTGGTTAGTTATATATTGAAAGATAAACAGCAATATAAATTGCATATTCCACGTAAACTCGGTTGGTCGGAAGAAGAATGTCAGGAAACATTTATTGTTGGAACTCCTAAAAAACGATCTTCAACTAAAAAAAAATTAAATGACTTGCATCTTGCAATCTTAACTAAAAATCCCGGTATAGTTAAAGAGTTGGTCACTTATTACTCTGCCCTTGCAAATGATAATATTGGTTGGATGTCAACAGTCTCCGAAGAATTACTTTTTCTTTATCGAAATTATAAAGGTAGGGTGAATTAAAAATTACATTCAATTATAAATTAAATTATAAATTTATAATTTATAATAATTATGTTATTTTAGAATATGTTGTAGGATTATTCGATCAGCCGGTAAGTTTTATAATTGCTTGCATGTCTATTTATTATTGGATATTCATTCATTAACGATACAAATTTTGACAGATTTTCGGTTCAAAGGAAGCAGCACATCTGATTTCTGGAAATTTAAGGTCTCCTTCATCTACAGCGAAAAAATTTTGGATTAAAATTAGAAACTTTATCAGAAGAAAATGTGGTTTAAAAGATATTCCAGTCCAAATGGATTCCATATCACTGCGAACCTCAGAGAAACTAATTATCGCGAAACCACTTCTTGATATTCCCACAAGATTGACAAATCAAGTTTCAAAACATGAGAGAAACGAGAGAAACATCGATGATGCAACTCCATTAATTATGACATGCATGGTACCATTACCAAATTTCACAGTGCCGAAACGAGATGAAGAGGCAAGCGGGAGAAGCATACTGTTAAGGTTCAATAGAAAAAGTCGTTTCTTGAGAATGGTATTAGCCGATACAAATGACATTATCTATGATAATCCTGCCATGGAAGCTATAGTAGAATTCAAATGGAATAAATATGCTCGTAATTACATTTATGGATTGCTATTACTATTCTCATTCTATCAATTATGTTTCGGATTTATTTGTTACGGCTATGTAACACAAATAAAAGCAACAGATATATTATTTTATATTGCAATGATTCCATCAGTGGTTATTGTAATCAGTATGGGAACCGTTTTATTGGTGCTTGAGATCCAACAATGCCTATTGTTGGCACGAAAATACATTAGATTGTACAATTTATTTGATGTGATGGCTTGTGTTCTACCAATGGCCGGAACTGTTCTCATTCTAAGATCACTCTTAATGTCCATGGCTCAAGATGAAACAACTAACGGTTTTGAAAATATTCCTATAAGCAGACCTTTATTGATATTTTTATCAATGACCATCTTAGTATTATGGCTCGAATTGGTAGGTTATTTATTTTATTTTTTATTTTTAATTTGGTTTTATATTTGAAATTTATTTTATTTTATTTTTAAACTAATAGTTGTTGAGAATGCGATCTTTACCAAGTAAGGACAATCAAATGAAGTTATTTGTTTCGTTTTTACTTTTTATAGTCAGTAAAATTGATAATTCTTTTGATTTTTATTTTTTAGTAATCGGTATTTATGTTTTCGTTATATTGAATCTTTTGAAAAAGATTTTTCCTTTCTTGGGAGTAATGCTTCTCATTGTTTGCGGATTTGCCCATACAATGTAAGTTAAAAAATTTATTTTCTCGTTCAAATGTCACCAAAACAAAAACACTAATTATCAGATATTTTTCAAATGTAGGTATTTATTGTTAAGTAGACCTGAACTTATAGGCGTAGCACCTCAAGGTACATCATTTACACTTAGGGATCCATCACAAACATTATTTAAAAACGACTTGGTGATAACTGAAAATGTTGAAAATAACTATTTTGACGATTTTTTCTCATCTGCGAAGGCGGTTTATTTCTGGACGAATGGTCAATGGGATCAAATTGATCATTGGGATTTTTTGCCGGTTACAATAATAACACTTTTTGCTAGTTTTTTTTTGGTTATTGTTATGCAGAATATTATGATCGCAATCATGTCAGATGTTGTTTCTGATGCTAAATATAATGGAAAAAAAGCTTTTCTTAAATTGAGAGCTGAGCTAATAGCAGAAGTGGAAACATTTTTTATTAGTTCATCACAACAAAGAAATCAAGATTGGTTTCCAAAAAATATTTATTATCAAATTAACATTGAAGAAGTTAATAAATGGAAATCAAGAAAATTGAAGCATATTAATTATGATAAATTTAAAAACGATGACCATAAAAAAGTAAAAAATAATGATAACAATATTAGTAGTAGTTGTAGTGAAAATTGTCGGCATGTTCAAAATGAATTGAGATCCAAAATTAGTTCCATGGAAGAAAAACTTGACAGATTATTGTCATTTCACAATAATGACAGATTATCACACTATAATAATTATGATGATGATGGCCGTTCAATTGCATCGAACGCTACATATCATAATGCTTTATAGTTTTATTAAATTATCGTGTATTATATAATTAAATGTGGGGAATTGCAGGACGTTCAGAACAAAGACTTCAAGAGGTATCCAATATTATAGGTGTTGCTAGTGGAAATAGTGTTCGGCAACCAGAAATTATTATAGCAGATGTTGAAAGACCGGAAAGTTTAAATAAGATGGCAAAAAGAGCTAAAGTTGTAATTGCATGTGTTGGTCCATTTTTTCTTTATGGTGAATCGGTGGTTAAAGCTTGTATTGAGAATGAAGCTAATTATGTTGATATCGCAGGCAATAATCAATTTATTATTTTAGTAATGATTTTGTTTATATTTATATATAGATTATGTAATGGTGATTCATACATATAAATATTAATTACATACTTTTATCATATATATATATATCCTCTTTAAATATATAAATTATAGGCGAAACTGAATTTATGGAACGTATACAATTAAATTATAATGAGCGTGCAAAAACGAAAAATTTATCAATAGTAGTTGCATGTGCATTTGACAGTGTAATAATAATATTAATAAATAATTTTGCTACTATTTTTTAAATAATCATCAGTTAATCCTTTTATTTTTTATTTTTTTTTTGATGGTTAATATGAATATATATAGGTCCCAGCTGATTTGGGTATATTATTTACAAAACGTCTATTAGAATCACAAGGAGCAATTCCTTCTCAAATTGAAATGTTTACAAGCGTTCACTGTGGTAAAGCTGGTTTAGGAGTTAATTTTGGTACATATGCGTCTATAGGTAATTATAATAATAATCATAATTACAATAAATTTTATTTTTATTATTTTATTAAATAATATTAATAATATTTACCTACATAATGAACGATGCAAAAACATTATAGTGCATGGTATTAATAATGTTGAGAGATTACGTGAATTAAGAAAAAATGCCAATCGGCCTAAAGTTCCTAGAATTGGACCACCATTAGAAATCATTCGATCACATAAATGGGATGATCAAGTAAAGGGATATATTTATCCATCATTTCTTACCGATCCAAGTATAATTAGGTTGAGTCAAAGCTTAGATATTGAATGTCAAACAGGTGTGCCACCAGTTCAACTTGCCGCGTATCTTGTGTTTCCTAGTTTTAAAAATTTGGCAAAGATGGTGTTTGCAGGAGCTTTATTCAAATTTCTTGTTAAATTTTCTTGGGGAAAATCACTATTACTAAAATATCCTAAAGTATTTACTTTTGGTAAGTTTTTTTTTTTTTTGAAAAATTTACATATATAATATTTTATTATTTGATATAATATATATATATATATATATATCGACACAGGCACTTTTTCACACAATGGACCTACGCTTGAACAAATCCAACAAACAAGTTTTACTCACAAGTTTGTTGCGAAAGGAATTCTTATACAATCAACAACAACAAATCTTAATCTTCATGATGATGATTTAGAATCAAATGCTTCATTTGAGAGATTGTTACCACCACCATCAGAGTTAGAGATTGTTACTGAAGTTACAGGACCAGAACCTGGATATGTAACCACACCGATATGTGTAGTTCAATGTGCTTATACCATACTAAAAGAAGGTGGCAATGTCCCAAAAGGTGTTTTAACTCCTTCTTTAGCATTTGGTAAAACTTCCTTGATTCAAAATTTAATGGAATATGGAATTAATTTTCGAGAAGTTGATAAATCTTAATTATGTTTAAAATAATTTTTTTTTTTCATACTATAATCTATAAAATATTTATTTTGATGATTAAAACCCCTCCTTTATATCAAATTTTCTCATTTCTTTAATGTACAAGTATAACAATAATTATAATTTTAAATTTTATTAATTTTAATATATTAATGAATGAATTATTAAAAAATCAATTAAATAAATATTCTAACCCCCCCCCCCCCATTCAATTATCTCCCCCAACATAATTTCACAACACTACCCCCCACACTCATCTTCAACGACCCACGC